ATTTTAAGCGTAGCAGAATTATTGGAAAGTTCGAAGAAGGGCGAAAAATAACAGATGTTGCTAGGGAGTTCGACATCGCTCACAGCACTGTTTCACGGCTGTGGAAATCCTTTAAAACTACTGGAACGTGTAGTAGGCGGCACAGGGGAGGTCGTGTTAGAAGTACGACGTCTGCAGAAGATAGATACATCGTCCTATAAGCGAAAAGGAACAGGCGCACCACAGCNGTGGCAAATCAGTTTCTTGCTGCCACAGGAAAGCAGATCTCCCGAAAAACTGTTGCCAGACGTTTGAGGGGATGAGGATTATACACCCGCAGACATGTTGTGTGTGTCCCATTGTCCAGACAGCACCTTACTGCCCGTTTGCAATGGTGTCGTGGGCATCACAATTGAACTGAACAGGACTGAGCATGCGTACTGTTCTCAGATGAGAGTAGATTTTGTCTGTCATCGGATTGTAGACGCCAAGTGATCTGGCGCGAGAGTGGTACTGGTCATCGCCCAGAAAATATCCAGGAAAGGGACCATTATCCGATATGCAGTGTCATGGTGTGGGCCGGCATCATAATCAATGGCCGCACGCGCCTATATGTGGTTGCGAATGATGCTATGACGGACCAACGATGCATTGATGAAGTTCTACTTCCTCATGTTCGTCTTTTCCGTGGTGCTGTCGGTGATAAATTTGTTTTTATGGACGACAACGCAACATGTCATCGAACACTCGCTGTTCAGGATTGTCTAGACAGCGAGGGTATTCAGCGCCTCGTATGGCAATCACGTTCTCCAGATCTAAACCCCATTGAAAATGTTTGGGATACTTTGGGGAGGCAACTTGCTGGTCGAAACTATCCTCCGACAAACAAGAACACCCTCATCTGTGCACCGTCAGAGTAATGGGATAAATTGCCTCAACAACTGCTGGATAATGTTGTGCGAAGTATGATACGAAGTGTAGAATGTTGCATTACACTCCACCGCAGACATATCCCGTACTGACACCTTTCTTCGAGTTGCCTGCTGACATTTAGATGCATTGTTCCATTTTTCTGTACGCAGCATCAAATGAACAGTTTTTTTCTTTCAGATGTTTCATAGCTTTTGTACTTTCCAGAACAATAAATATTCTTTATTCTAATGTCTGAACAGTGTGGCAACTATTTTTTATCCTACTAGGCCTCATGTCTCGCTTAATGTTATGCTACAATGCAATTAGTGATCCGTCCTTAGCAATTGTCCAGAAGTGTACATTACAGTGATTCAGTGATTTTAAAGTAAATAATACCATATAAATTATGGTAGATAAAAATTTTGTTCCGTAAAACTTTACGGTAAAAATGGATTTTACTGTAAAAATTACTGGTACTCTGAATGCTGGTATTATTTACCACAATTTGATTCAGAAGTTTTGTTGAAAAAAAAAATTGAACACCCTGAATAATTTTTGATCTAATGAACGGATTTTCACGAATTGGAACCCTATTTTATAGAAGTAAAAACACATTTTTAATAGTTTTTGTCTATTTATTAACATTTTATTTAATAATAGTCAGAAACATTTTAAATCGTAAAAAACAAATCTTTGTATTATTTAAAATAATGAAATTTAATATCTCAAAATGGAAAATTTGAACGAAAATAGTCGAATGAGAAATTGAATTTTAAGAGCTGTGTATATAAAATTTAATTTCTTACAAATTATTTTACCAGTTTTGTTCAACCTTCTGATTTCGCCATATAAATTTAAAATTTTTAGATCAATTCCTTAAAACGATTTAAAATTTTTATACCTTAGAAATCAAAATATTTTCAACTGTTATTAAAAAAATAATAATAAGTAATAATTATTTAAAAAATTATTTTTTGCAGGGACTTATCTTTGAAGAAACTAATTTTACGACTGCGTGCACAAAATTTTATTCGCATAAATAGTTCTCGGAACATGGAGAAAAAGTATAATTAAGATAAAGAGATCTAAAATATCGGAACCATATTTTCCAGATTTCGGCCACCCCCACATTTTAAGGGAAAGGAATCCAAATCCGTTGAAAGAAAGGTATATTTATTCAGAAAAACTGCGTTTTTGTGTTTGATTTCGTAACTTAAAATATCGTCTTTCACTAATTAATTAGCATATTTGAGGTCACCGCTTTTAACCATTGGGAGTGAGTCCTGGAATATGAAAATCCGCTCATTAGATCAAAAGTTATTCAGGGTGGTCCGTTTTTTTTTTTGCCGTACTCTGTACATCGTCGTGCAAATTCATACTTTTTGTTTTTTACTATACGATGGTTAAAATTAAAAAGAAACTTGATTTAATTTAACACGTTATTATGGTTATAGCAAAAGCAGTGTATTTGACGCACGTTGAAATAATTTTTCGAAAACTTATATTCTTTGAATTTGTTTTGTAAAAAAACGGTATAAAACCTACTAGTTTATGTATTTTTTTTAAAATAAAGCATTGACCAAAAAAATTTAACTTAGATATTGCTTTAAATTACTATTAACTATTAATTAACTAACTTATTTATTGCATTAAATTTTATCGATGAATGCCTGTGAATGATAATTCATAACTTTTATGATTATAATTATCTTATTTTCAAAATATTTAGCGATGGACCAAAGTGGAAATCTAGGCGAAGATTATTGACGCCATCATTTCATTTCGAAATTTTAAAAGACTTCATGCCTACTTTTGCTGAAAAATCTGATATCCTGGTTAAAGTTCTTCGGAAAGAAACAGAAAAAGAATTTGTTGATATTGTAATGCCTGTAACACTGTGCAGTCTAGATATTATTTGTGGTGAATCTATTTTTTTATAGCTTTTTAATTCTTCAACTTAGATTTTTTTTTTCTGACTCTAATCACAAGCAATAATATATTTTGTTATATTTTAATAATTAAAACACAGTCTAACAGTTATTTTAAATATCTGTTAGATTATTGGAATTATATTTGCACTAAAATATAAAAACATTGTTCGAATTTTTTTTTCATTTATATTCAAAAATTCCTCAATAATTGATTTTGTAAGTTAAAGAAATTTCAATGGTGAATCACAGTTTCTCTTAAATCTAAATAACGGCAAATTTGAACGGAAATCTTATTTTAAAATTAGAAAAAGATGTTTTTTTAAGCCATAAATTGTTAAAATGCTAAATATAATAATTTTTACTCATTTTAAATTAAAAGTATGAAAATTCTTCGTCAAAAGATTAAATTAAACTTAAATTCAAATGATGCTTTAAGATATTTGAACAAGAACCAATTAACGTAACAAAACTGATACTTATACTATTTACGAAAGAATTTCACTTCATAAATATCATATAGTTTCCAATTACACGTAATTGAAACAATTTGTTACGCTACAATATTTTTCAAATAATTCCTTCTTTTTGTTTTTAAATTCCTTAGGCACTTAATGACATTTAGAATAAATGTTTCATCAAATGCTTCTAAAATTAATTAAATAATTTATATTTTCTCTTTTTTGAAGTACTAAGCAGGCCACCCATTGATAGAGCGAGCGTAAACATAGCATCAGTATGCGCACATCACCTCTGCGCATCCTAATGTAAAAGTATTGGAATTTGCCGCCTGTATGCTTCTTTCTTACTGCTTGCCTCCTCAACGTGTGGCCTGCCTTAAAATTAACTTATAGAAATGTTTAAAAGCCTGAAAACAATACAGATCATTTATAGAAATAGATTCGTTAAGCCTTCGCCTTCCAATGACGTCAACCAGGTTCGAATCCTAGCGATGGCCAGTCGATATGAATTCCGCATCCGGCTCGCACCGATCACAGTGCTGACGTTAAATATTCTCAATGGCAGATGGATCATGGGTTAGAGTTCCCTTGCCGTCAGGCTAACTGTGGAAGGTTTTCCTCTCCACGTAACGCAAATACTGGTTAGTTCCATCAAAAAAGTCCCCCACGAAGGCGAAGTATGGCCACTTCTCGATCCAGGAGTTCCCTCGTCTTCTGGATTGGGTTCGAAATTACAAGGCTACGGAGCTGACATTAGTAGTCGTAAACTCAAAATTGGGTCAGCTGTTCAACAACGGCTAAAAAATAAAATATAACTCTTATGAGAAAAGAAGAGTCTCGACTGTCATTTGTATCATAAATATAAATATCCAACACATTTAGGAAGCTGTTTCTTTTAACTGTGCTAAACAAATTAGTTCATTCACAAAAATAACTTTGAGTACATAATCCTTGCAATGAAAGAAAAATTCCCCATCTCACAGAACACGTTAGTTCGTGAATCGTAATCGTATGTGGATTTCGAGCCGTAAAGTTGAAGCCACAGTTTTGTTTATATTGATTCGAAAATTATAAAAAGTTAGGAAGCAGTTATTGTTTCGAACAAAAGCCTTTTTTTTTAAGTGTACGCGTTAGCTATTTGCTTTGTATTTTTTTCTTCCTAAACGTTAATTGCAGCACGAAATTACTCCAACTCTCTTTTTCATGCTTTTTAACTCATCACTACCACTTGTTAATAAACACTTTGTTGATTTTCACAGAAACAACATTGGGTGTTAACATTGGAGCACAAGAAAATAAAGACTCAGAATATGTCAGAGCAGTATTAAGGTAAAGTACAACTTGCATACATTATTGTTATAATTGAAGACTGTTATTGTTGTACAAGTTGGTACGTAATGACAGTTCTTAATATATATGTTT